GAGGAGGAGGAGGAAATCTCTCACTTGGATGGTGAACGTTTCCTCCACTGGCCCCGCCACGTAGGAGAAGTAGGTCCCAGCCTTGGCTACCGAGTCTGTGGACATCCAGAAGGTCGCAGAGACCTGAAAGTTGAAGGAGGAGCAGCAGAGAGCAGGTAGAGCGAGAGGGGAGAGCAGGAGGAGAGCGATAGGGAGAGGAAGAGGAGGAGGAAAGGGGGAGAGGGAGGAGGACGTGGAGGATGGGGATTCAGTCAGGACTCCTTAGTTTCTCCACTATATCAGATCACCTGCATCTCGGCCATGCCCCTGAAGGGATAGATCGCAAGCGCGCCCGAGCCCCCGTAGAAGGCCATGCTGTGCTCCGGCACAACATTCTGTGAAGACGAGTGCAGCATGAGAAATATTGAGCAGGGGTAGACTTGGGGACGAAAGAAGTTGTGAGGAAGGAGAAGCAGGGAGAGGAAAGGAGAGGAGAGGAGAGGAGAGGAGAGGAGAGGAGAGGAGAGGAGAGGAGAGGAGAGGAGAGGAGAGGAGGGGAGGGGAGGGGAGGGGAGCGTCTTTACGATACAGTGAGAGGAGTCCAGAGCGGACGGATCAACGCAGGAGGTCTAGTTTGTCTACTCCACTGCTCCTGCACGGTCTAAGGTAAGAGGAGAAGGAGAATGAAGGTGGAGGTTTCCTTCACTTACCTCTGACCAGTGAAGGTACGGAACAGGCTTGCTTCCCTCGTCCTCGTTCCTCCCCTCCCCCTCGCTGCTCCTCCAATCTCCCTCCCCTCCTTGCTGACCCTCAGGCCACTGAAGCTTGTCCCTCTTGTCGTAGCTGGGATCGGAGCGATAGTCGAGCTTTCCTGCTCCTGCTCCTGCTCCTGCTCCTGCTCCTACTCCTGCTCCAACCCCAGCTGGGGATCTGACCTCCTCACTCCGTCCTCCCTGCGTTGCCATGGGCGGCCAGTGGAGATGCTGAGCTTCTTTCCCAGCGTAGTAGTGCATCCTGGAGCTCCTGCTCCTCTTCCTCTCCCTCGACGTCGCACCCGAACTCGCTCCCTCTCCTTCCCCCCCCGCCTCCTCATGCGGAAAGTCTTCGTACGGCCCCGGCTGCGCCTCCTCGGGACAGTCCGCGTAAGGGCCATCGCAAGGATTCTAGAGGAGGAGATGATTAGATACAACCAGCCCCTTCCCTCTACACAATTTTCTTCCTCATATAATCTGCCCCTTCCCCTTCCTCCTAACACCCCCCCTCACCTCTCCCTCGCCTCTCCTCCTCCCCTCCTTCCTTCGCCTCCCACACACCCCCCTCCCCTCACCTGCAGAATGTTCTGAGGAGTCTTTGGCCAGTCACCAGCCTCCTTCTTCTCCCTCGGCTCCGGGGGCACCTATGGACCATCTCAACCCGCTGAGGGTCCAGAGGATACAGCACCTGCAGGGCCCTCCTTCCCCTCTCCCCGTCCGATCCTGGGACGAACCTCTCGTAGGCGCTCTTGCCGTTCCTGCGCAGCCAGCCGTGAACAGGAGCAAAGAGGACTAGTCACTTCACTTATTCGTCAGCCCGTGGCCCTTTGGATACACACGATGCAGTTCCTGAGAAAAAAGATTCAACTGAATCGCCTCCTGCCTCACCTTCTTCTCCTCCATTTCCTTACTGCTCTCCCTCCCATCCTGTCGTCCAAATCTGATCCTTGTTTTCCTCCTCTTCCCCTCTTTCCTTCCCTGGTTCTTCCCTCAACTTCATCCTTTCGCCCTTACCATCGTCTTGCCGTCGACGGCAACGACTTCCCACACACACTTCCCGTTGCTCCAAATGTCTCCATCCCTTGACGCCACAAGCCGTTGGCTCCCCCCGTCATGTGTGAAGACCTGGACCCAATGAGCAGGCAGCAGGCATGTGCTCGAGGAAAGGAGGTCGAGGGGATTGTGGAGGAGAAGGAGGAACAAGCTGGAAAGGAGGAGAATAGCAGTAACAGGCGCAGGATGTAAGAGGCTGGAAAGGAGGAGGACGACAGGAAGAGCAGTGCAGCACCGTGACTGAGATCGAGTTCTCTTGCATGATCTTTGAGCACTGAGTGAGCTCCATCGTCGCCTCGTCCAGAGGCCCTGCAGGAGGAGGAGGATGTCAAGTTGAGGGTCCAAGGAGAGAAGACGAGGGAAGGAGGGAAGCATCGAGCTCGATCGTCTATCTGACACCTCTGATCGCTCTCAGACTCTTCCTCACCTGCTTCACTCTCCTTGAGCTCCACAGACACCCAGTATCTCCCTTCCACAAGGTTCTCGAGGGCGATGGTTAACGGGCCGCCATCGTCAACGTCATCTGCCTCCACGTCTTCCCTCTTCTTCTCCTCATCGCACACCTGGTCGTCCACCAGTCATCCCGTTGACCCAACTCTCCTCCAGCTCTCACGTGGTTGAGGTCTCGTCCCAGATCCGGCTCGTTCTGACCCGCAGGCAGGCCCAGTCGTACTCGGCATCCTCCCGGACTGCGACCGGGCCCGATGAGGAGAAGAAGGAGCGCAGAATGTGTTCACTCACGTGAGGATCTGAAGCTCAAGATCGACGAGCGGAGCGCGAGGGTTCCACCATCTCTTCCCCCACGCCAAGACGAATCGGATTTCTCCTACGGCTGAAGGAAACTCAGAGACAGGACACTCGTACAGTCTCCATGAGACTCACGAAGGTAGGGGTTCATGAGCAGGCGGATTCTCACGGGATAGCCAGGTATCGCCGTGTGCTCCTGGCTCTCCGCTGGATCGTACCCATCCTTCTCCCCAAAGACCTGATTTCACAACAAAGGAATCATCACCTCCTCTCTTGCTTATCAGCAGCGCGTCTCACGCTGTAGATTGCTGGAGCTCCGACGAGGACAAACTTGCCGTCCTGGTCTGTCATGGTGGAGTAGAGAGCCGGCACAGGAGAATCCGACCGCCCCTCAATCGCCGCCGTCATCCCGACAACCTGAAATCCCTTTGCGATTGAGCTCAGTGCCCTCGAGATCCCCGAGTGAAGCGGCTGGTCCTTCTCGATCTGGTGGGGCACAGTCACAACCAACATCACAAGCACAGACAAGCGAGCTTTCCTTCTCAATCTCCGTGGGCTGCAGACTGTCATTCTCCCCTACCAGCTGTACAACGACGTTTGAAACCGTCCTGCCGGTAAGAATATCCACAGCCTCACCCTCTATCCTTGCTACCAACATCCCTTCCCCCGCCACGCGCTTGCTGTCTGGAACGAGGGGAGGCAGAGGAACATGCTGTTTGCTTGCAAGATGTTTCACGTCTGCAATCTCGCTGTTGATGTCTGCAGTCTCTGAATCCTTCGAATTTTGTGGAGAGTCGAGGTCGAAAATTTGCCTCTCAAGTACGTCATTGAGGATTCTTGCCTTCTCATGTATCCCTGCCGCAGCCTCCGAACTCCAGCGCACATCATCATCATCCCCTCCTGTATCACCATTCCTGGATCTCCCAAGGAGATCAGCTAGAATCTGCGACTTTACCAGCATCGCTGCTCTTATGTTGTCCCTTTTGCCCACAACACTCCTCAGCAGCCTCTCCTTCAGCTGCACGTAGTGCTTCAGTCTGCCTTTCTGCAGCAGAAAATCTTCATGCCCTGGAGTCTCATGCCGGCGCGAGGCGCTCCAACATGCTAGGACAAGTACAGTCGCACAGACCAGCACTACGAACAGACGGCGGAACGAGACTAGGCGTCCTCTCGAGCTCTGCTCGTCAACCCGCTCGGGTCTGACTCGCTCGTGCCACTGGCTCAGCTCCTGCATGCTCGCAAGCGCACCGCGACTCAACTCCTCAGCTCCTCGTCGCTCCCCATACAACCGTCATGTTCGTCCCCGCCGCCATGGCAGCAGGAAAGTCTATTTCGGGTGATGCACCTAGTCAAATGCCTTGTAGCGACACGGGATTCCAGGGCAGCACCCAGACTGACAACCAGTACCTTATGTGTCGGGGTACGTAGGAAGCGCGAGGAGGAGGAAAGGGAGGAAGACGGAGGAAGGACGACGATGACGAGGAGGAGTAGGAGGAGGAGGAGAAGTTGACTAGCTTCTTAGAGAGGATTAGACCAACTCTAGCTAGTGCTGGAACAGAATCATCTCCTTCTGGTCTTAGAAAATCAGAAATACACCGTCAAATCCTCCTCACGATGGTATCACGAAATCTCCCCATTCAACGGATGAAGGAAGCCATGGTCAAACAAACGCAGCAGAGAGATTGGCTCTCGTCCTAGAACTTAGTTGCCTGCTGCTGCCCGCTGCCCCCCTTTGCTTCCCCCTCCCCCCCCACCTAGACAAATCGAGATCCGCCCTTTTCGGGATCTCGACTCTACATATCTTCAACTCATCAGCACGCTCCACCTGAAAACCCTTGCGGGACTCCCTCACGAGCCTCCTTCTCTTGTCTCCCTTCTAATCACTCTCTTTGCGCCTTCGCAGTGCGACAACAGGCATCTATGTCCCAAGACAAGGTGAGCTCTCTTCTCCGCTGCCGCACCCCTCACGTAGCTCTTCCTCTAGCCGCATGACCCTCAGATGTATGCTCCTCCCACCGGGACGAGTCGCCCCAAGGCTCCTCACTACAAGAGAGACCTGGTCGGCTACGGTCGCTACCCACCAGATCCCAAGTGGCCGGGAGGCGCTCGGGTTGCAGTTCAGCTTGTGATCAACTACGAGGAGGTGAAGTTATCGGCTCTTTGCTCTCTCTAGCCCCTCTTGTCACCCCCTCCTCCCTTCTTCCTCCAGTGATCCAACCACCACAGGGATCAGAGAACTGTGTCTTGGACGGCGACGGTCAGTCAGAGCATCTCCTCAGCGAGATCGTCGGAGCTCAGCCGTACAAGGGGGTGCGGCATGTCAACATGGAGTCCATGTACGAGTATGGCTCCCGTGCTGGGTTCTGGAGACTGTTCCGGATGTTCACAGAGCGGAGCATCCCTTGCACGGTATACGCCTGCGCCCTTGCGCTGGAGCGCAACCCTGAAGCCGCGCAAGCCATGGTGGAGGCGGGCTGGGAGGTCGCCTCGCACGGCTATCGGTGAGCACATGTCAGCCACGGCTAGGCACTGAGTGGAGCCTTGCATGTTGTCCGGCGCCCCTCGACGATCAGCTGGTGGGACTACCAGTACGTCGACGAAGCGACCGAGAAGGAACACATCAAGCTTGCTGTCGAGGTCCAGCAGAAGACCATCGGGCAGCGTCCCCTCGGGATCTACCAGGTTGACAGGGAGCGGTGACGACGTGGCTGATGGCGAGGTTTTGACAGGGGAAGCCCAACGAGAACACGCTCAAGCTGGTGGTGGAGGAGGGGGGATTCCTCTACAACTCCGACTCTTACGCCGACGACCTTCCGTACTGGAATACTCAGGTCCTGCTCCCCCTGCTCCTCCTGCTCCCCCTGCTCCCCCTGCTCCTCCTCTCCCCCTCTTCCTCCCCCCACTCCTCCACCCCCTCCTCCTCTCCTCTCCCCCTTCTTGATTGTCCTCGTATTGATTTTTAACTTAACTTTGAGTAAAGGAGTTGATCCCGGCGTTTTGCACGCCTTTTTGAATTCTTGGGACTCATCAACGAGCACCGTCAGTGAGCGAGGGGAGGGAGGCGGCTGGAGCGAAGAGGAGCGGGTCAAGGGAGGAAGAGCCTGACACGAGGAGGAAGAGAAAGGAAGAGGAGTCAGTTAGAGGACGGGCCTAGACATCAGTCAAGATGCACCTCAAGTCGTTTTCTGCGGGATCGTACCA